GCCCTGCCAGCGACGGATCGTTGCCAGCCACTCCTGGTGACCGTCTGGACTCATCATAGGCCCGAAGGCTGTCAGCTCTGGTGGTCTACAGCTCCATCATGACTGTAACATAGCTTGCCCCCCACGATAGCTTAAAGAGAATACCCACGGCTGGCCCTGCTGCCACCCCCGGATAACCTGTGAAAGACTCCCGATCTGAGATGGGCTGTACCTAATTCATATGATTACCAGTACAATTTTTTTTTTTAAGTCAAAATTGTGGAATTGCACTCCGAACTTAAAAAAAAATTACTGAAACGTGGGACCAGCAGTTGGCATAATGGTTATGTTGCTGGACTCCTATGTAGACAACCGTGGTTCGAGTCCTGGAGCTGGTGGCTTAAAACTCAAGCTGGACGTGTGTGTGTGCCCAGGATCCTGAGAAGAGAACGGAGGAGAAGGGATTGCGGTGTGGCCATCCCCCCAGGGGGTGATTTCTCACTTTCTGTCTCTCTATCTCTCTTTCTGGTGAGCACACACACCCTATAGCAGGACCCTCTCCAAAAAAAAAGAAATTACTGAAACTTAAATATATAACATGTATTCATATTAAGAGTCCTTGGGTTTAAATACTTTAAAATAAAGCACATTGTAAGTAAGGTGGACACAAGGTGTAATATAAAGTGGAGTTGGAAAAGGCTGACTACTTTGTAAAGGGACCCTTCAAAATGGCATGATTTATAGACACCCTTAATTTCTAGAACTGATCCAAATAGGTGAGAGACCTTATTCTTTGTTGAACTGTGATTATATTTTCTTTTTTTTTAAAGAATTATTCTATTGATGGACCAGCAGTTAGCGTAATGGCTATGTCACTGGACTCCCACGTAGTCAACCGTGGTTTGAGTCCTGAACCCAGTGGCTTAAACTCACGCCGGGCACATGTGCGTGCGTGCTCAAGATCCCGAGAGGAGAATGGAGGAGAAGGGATTACAGCATGGCCATTCCCGCTGGGGGGTGATTTCTTTCTTTCTATCTCTCTGCCTCTCTCTGTCTTTCTGGTGAGTGCACACGTCCAATAAGAAAGAAAAAAAAAAACTCTCAAAAAAAAAAAAAGAATTATTCTATTGAATATTAATTAATTAATTAATTTTAATTTGACCAGAGAGGGACAGAGTAAGAGAGAGAGAGAGAAAGTGAGAAACCAAGCCACCAGGTCCGGGAATCGAACCACAGTTGGCCATGTAGGAGTCCAGCACCTTGACCACCATGCCACCTGCCAGCCCCTGAACTATGATTATTAAATGATAATCTTTTAACACATTCTGAATCTGTTACTTCGTTATAGCCTTTGGTCGGGGAATAGCCTGTGTTTTGTCCATTTGGGTTTTTATAGGTAGATGGGAAAATCAGCATGAATGGAGAGACAGTCCATGGAGACGAGGAGGAGAAGGAGAGAGAGTACCCCACAGCAGCACCTGCCTCCCCCTTAACCAAGGCCCAGATGTTCGAAGGCGTGGCCAGAGTGCACGGGTCTCCAGTGGAGCTGAAACAAGACAGCAACGGCATCGAAATCAACATAAAGAAGCCAAGTTCTCTTCCCCAACTCACAGTAAGAACCACACTTCTTATTACTATTAATGAGTTTGCTGGAGGCCACATGCACTCACTAGAGAGAAGAGGGAGACAGAGAAAGTGAGCTATCACCCCCCGCAGGGGGATGCCCATGCTGCAATCCCTTCTCCTCCATTCTTCTCTTGGGACTTTGGGTATACACGTACATGCGCCTTACATGGTTTTCAAGCCACCTGACCCAGGACTCGAACTGTATTGTCAGCCATGTGGGAGCCAGCACCTTAACCTCGACACCACCTGCTGGCTCAAACTCTTAGGATAATTCCCCTGTGTAAGAGCCCGTTGTCTGTCTGTCTCTCTTTCTGGAGAGCGCACGCGCCCTGTAGCGAAAAACCTTTCCAAAAAAGAAAGCAAACCAACAAAAGGATAAACTAAAAAATGTAGGGTAATTCACAAACAGCAGGAAGACAAATTCCAAATAACGTTATATTTGTCGCTTGGAGATATGAAACATGATCGGGGAGGTTCTGTGTCTTCTTAGAGTCTCTCCCAAAAAAGGCTTGTGCTGGTTTTATTGATCAAACCCAAACTGTCGAACTGTCGTTATGACAGGTGCAGCCCCGGTTTGGGGGTACAGGTTGGACTCTGTCCACTTCATTCTCCTCACTCAGCCACTGGGCTAAGTTTCTGCACTTGTCATTTAGAGCATTGGAGTTTGTATTAGTTAAAGGAGGGGGAAACTGTCAGGGTCTTTTTCCCCAGCACCAGGAAAGGTTTGGTCTGGAAGAAAACTTCTCTTTCACCTCTAGACCTGAGCAGTAGATGACCCAGCTGGCTAAAACCCACCCAGCAGATGGCATGCATATTATTTTTTTTAACTTTTTTTTTTTTTTTGAGAGGTTTTTGCTATAGGGGGCGTGTACTCACCAGAAAGACAGAGAGAGACAGACAAACAGAAGTGAGAAATCACCCCCCTGGGGGGGGATGGCCACACCACAATCCCTTCTCCTCCATTCTCCTCTCAGGATCTTGGGCACGCACGCACACGCACCTGGTGTGAGTTTAAGCCACCCAGGTCCGGGATTCAAACTGCAGTCAACTACATGGGAGTCCAGCGACATAGCCAGTACGCCAACTGCTGGTTCCAGCATGCATATTATTTTTATATCTAGGATTTGTCTTTTGAGTAATAAAGTGATAGTTTTTTGGAAGAGTTGAAAGGATGTCATTCTTCACCACAATGCCCGAGTGCTTGATGATTCAAATGAGCATCAACCAGCGTCGTTTCCTCTCTCTGGCAATGTGTTCCTGGTCTCCAGGAGCAGTTTAATAATCCAGGCAAATGGCGAATCTCTCAACCCGGACTTAATATTACTTTTAATTTGCATAAATGGGGCTGTCTCTGAAGGATTTTTTCACATTATCAAGAGATGGAATATTGAGTTGCGCTCACAGTTGATACTAACTTGAAGCATTAACATAAACATATGCTCTTAAATCTGAAGGAGAAGCCCTACAAATTAATTAGATACTCTAGGTATGCAATTATTTTTTTAGGACAATTCTGTGCTTACTAATCTTTTCCACATCTCATGATAAACATTTTCTAAATTTCCTTTATTAAAAAAAATTTCATATTGATTACATATCCCAGAAAGTGTCTTGTTTTAAGAGAACCAAAATTATGTGATTAGAAAGAAATCAGTTTCTTAGTTTCTTCCATAAAAAAGAAATACATCGTTTACACTGATTTTATATCCCCAGAAGTGTCTCATTTTAAGAGAAGCAAAATTACATGGTTGGAAAGAAATCGTGTTATTTCAAAAGTTTATATGGTGTCACAAGGAGAATTCTAAACAAAAGGTGACCTTACTCACTTTCTGGAAACCTCTCTGATCCTGGCAGACTCGGACTGAGTCCAAACTCGTGGAAAAGCCTGAAACCATTCCTCTTGTGTAGTTCTTCCTTAGAGACATTGTCTAGGTCAGAGTGTTCATTTCTAAGTGGCCAGAGGGTGCCTGTGCTCTCCAGAGAGACACAGAAAGACAGAGACGGAGAGGGAGAGAGCCCCCCAAATGGGGCATGATCCCTTCTCCTCCATTTCTCCACCCCTTTGGGACTTTGGGTACACACACATATGTGGACATGTGTTTTTCAAGTCACTGGGACTGGGATTCGAACTGCATGGTCGGTCAACCTTGGAGAATCCAGCTTCCCTTAACCACCAGGCTATGGAGCTGGCCCCAGAGTCATTTCTATAGTTCAGCAAACCTTAATAGTTCTGGAAGAGATTGTAACATCTGGGTTTCCTTTTCTCTATACATTCAGCTCTTAAATTCCCTATGGTAGGGGCCATTCTGTTATTTTCTGTGTAACTAACTGTGTATACCTATCAGACTCTGTGCAAAATTGTTGGCTATACCACACGGCACCTGGGCTCCTTACTAAAACTCTTCTCATACTCGCATCTTGGAACCCCACAAGTTTTCCATTCAGAGTGTGTTATTCCAAGAATCATTTCAGAAAAGTTCCTTCTCCAGGAAACCTACTCTTTTTGCTTCCTTCTCCTTTCTGTGCATTCCCACAGAAAAAGTGCGATTCCTTGGCCGTGGCCAAATATGGCGGCCAACCTAAGACAGGAGGCTGTGCTCGAGCGTCCCCCCCAGGCACGAATACCAGCTCAGACTCTTCTGTTTCTCATTCATTGGCCAAGTCTGTGGAGCTGTCAAAGAAATAGTGTTCTTCTTTTTAAATAATGTCTTTCTTCCAAAAACTGCATTCCCAACAATTGCACTGTCTACAGAGGAGGAGACTCACCCACCACCAAAAGGTCACAGTGTCTTCAGAGTGAGCAGAACTGTTCTGGCAGAGGAGCAGTGGGAAGAGGTGGGAGCATTAATGCAGGGCGTGAGGGGAGCCTTGGAGGGTCCCCACGAGTCTCCCAGGGACTGGCACAGGCACTTGGTGTGACGTCATGCCATCCCTTCTGTTGCCTTCTGCCCCATCTTTTCTCACTGGAAACTCTTAGGACTGTGGCTCTCCTACTTCAAAAATAGATCTGAAGATTTTCTTTTTTCAGGACTTGGGCTGTGCCTACTATTCCAGAAAATTCCAGATCATCCTCAGTTGAAACCCCTCTATGGTGATGAAATGTTGATAATAACCACCTTGCAGAGGGGTGTCTGTTAACTGATGAATACAAATAAGGGCAGGCCAGATGGTGCTCAGCAGTAAAATGCGACATTCCATGCGGCTGACCCCCATGGGGAGATTCTAGGTTCAAATCCAGAGCCCTCCCGGAACACGTGCATGCCTGTGATTAGGGCTGGCTGAAGCTGGGGGGAGATTACAGGGTCCAGACCCTGTTGGGGTGCTCGTTCTCGCTCTCTCTTTTGTGTTTCTTTCGCTCATGGAAGACATAAATAAATAAACTTAAAAACATTTTTTTGAACATGAGTTAGGATCTTCTCCACGCCCCATTTTTTTTCTGAAATAGAAGAAACTTAAAAACTTGCCAAGAAAAGAAAATATCACAGAGCAACTAGAAAAGCATATAAGGTAATATATCATTAAATATTAGATTATAGAGTAAGAAGACCAGTGGGATGGAAGATTGCAAAGAATAGATAATATCATTAGAGGCTGCGTTTAGTCCAGGAAGGTTTTGTGTAGGATGTGGGTTTTGCAACTTGACCTTCAGGGAAGGAGTAGCATCGGAATGAGGAGGGAAACAGTCTGCTCCGTGAGCTGAGAATGGCATTACCGAAGACATGGCCGTCGGTGAGGCCTAGGAGAGGCCCCCAAGAGGGGTGAGTGGTGAGCGACTGGGGCTGTTCTCTCAGCACAGATCAGGGTTCTGTTGTCCCCATTCCGTTATCCCTGAGCTATGTCAGCGTCTCTGTGAAAGGCCCAGTAGAAACTTAACAGTGTTCTTTGCAGTTTAAAAATATTGGCTGCTCGGGACCAGCAGTTAGCATAATGGCTATGTCGCTGGACTCCCATGTAGTCGACTGTGGTTCAAGTCCTGGACCCGGTGACTTAAAACTCACGCCGGGCGCGTGTGCGTGCGTGCCCAAGATCCTGAGAGGAGAATGGAGGAGAAGGGATTGCGGTGTGGCCATCCCCCCGGGGGGTGATTTCTCACTTTCTGTCTCTCTGTCTCTCTCTGTCTGTCCGGCGAGTGCACGCGCCCTATAGCAAAAACCTCTCAAAAAAAAAAAAAAAAAAAAAAAGAAAAGAAAAAAAGAAAGAAAAAGAAAAAGAAAGAAAGAAAAGAAAAAAAAAATGGCTGCGGGGGGACCAGCAGGTGGCCTGGTGGTTAAAGCACTGGACATTCCAACATGGCCAAACACAGTTCGATTCCTGGCTTGCTTTCTCACTTTCTCTCTCTCTCTCTGTCTCACTCTGATCAAATTCAAAAATAAAAAAAAGAGTGAAGAAATAAAGTTAAATAAGTAATGATTTTAAAATATGTATATATAAAATCAGCTGCTGTAAGAAAAATTGTATCGTGCCAAAATGTAGATTCCTAGAATATAGAACTGGGAAAGACCGTAAGACCTTCCAACCTGAGGACTAATTTATCCTACAAGTAGTGACCTCACAGAGGAGCTGTCCATGTCTCCTTCAAAGCCATTCCTGTAAGAGGGACCAGCAGATGGCATAATGGCTATGTCGCTGGACGCCCATGTAGTCAACCGCGGTTTGAGTCCTGGGCCTGGTGGCTTAAACTCATGCCGGGCGCATGTACGTGCGTGCCCAAGATCCCAAGAGGAGAATGGAGGAGAAGGGATTGCGGTGTGGCCATTCCCCCAGAGGGGGTGATTTCTCACTTTCTGTCTCTGTCTCTCTCTCTGTCTTTCTGGCGAGTGCACATGCCCTATAGCAAAACCTCTCAGAATAAAGAAATGAATAAATAAGCTATTCTGGTATGTTCCCCATTCACTGTCAGTATATTTCTATTTGAATCTCTTCTTTCCTCAATGGCACCAAAATGACTCTTCCCTAAAACGCCTGAGGGACTTCATGCACTAGGTC